GCTGAATTGGAAACACAGCAGCCAGATTCGCACTGGCACTCGTACATGGGATGCAGCTTCACAGGCACTGGTTTAATCTGCAGGGCCCGTAAGCCCAGCCCTTAGATCACACCCTTTGATGCAATTACATTTCTGCCCTCCTGTCCCTGCCTTGGCTAGAACACCACCTGGGACACCCTCATCCCCTACTGGAGTGCCTGTAGTGGAGTCCTGGCTCCACTCTCAATCCAGCTCCCTGCTAACGCACACCCTGGGGGGCAGCAGGTTCAAGTAGCTGGGTCCCTGTCACCCATGTGAGAGATCTGGATGGAATTCTAGGCTCCTGGCTTCAACCTGGCCCAGCTCTGGCTATTGCAGGTATTTGGGGAGTGAATCAACAGATGGAAGATCTCTCTCTTTCTCTCTGTCTTTCAAATAAATAACTTTTTTAATAGATCATTCACTCTGGGTTTTTGGGTCTTTATTCTGAAGTCTCCTGGGCATACAAAACTCTGATGAAATAAATGTGGTCTATCCTGCCTCTCATCAACCTGCCTTGCATTACAGGGGTGTTGGCGAGGACCCTCACGATGGGTGAGGAAGGGACCACCCTCCTTCCCTCCCCTGCAACCTCAACTGCTACTATGTGGGCGTGCAGTGCCTGCGGGCTTGGTGCTGAGTCCTGGACACTCATCTCGCCAAACCCTCCAACAAATAAGGGCATCATTATTCCACTGGACAGAAGAGAAAGCTGAAGGTCCCAGGCTTGCCCCGGCCACACGCTGATAAGTTGGGCCAGCCAGGCTTGGTTAAAAACCAGAGGTGCTGCTCCTTTATCTGACAAAACAGAACAAAACCCAGGTCCCAGCTCTGCAGGGGGAGCTCCTGAGGGACTGCTTTGCTCTCTGCCTTTCCCATTCGAGGTGTTCCCTGCTCCTGGTGCCAGGACCAAGTCCCGCCCTCCAGCAAGCTGGTCACCCAAACATGGTCACTCCAGGGTCCTCCCAAGAGCAGCCCAGCAAGGGAGGGGAGGGGAGTAGGGGGAAGGCCAGGTTCTGTAGATGGCACACAGGGTTCCATGTCGCCTGGGCCACCAGGAAACAGGGAGCTGGGGATCCGGGCTGTGTCACCGGGCAACGATCAGTCAGCCCACAGGGAGGTCAAGTCCCGGACCCTGCTTCATCACTGTCCGATGGCCCAGCAATCCTGCTTCTTGGCATGGATCCAAAAGAATAGAACACTGACCTTCAATCGAAAACTTGCACCAGAACACCCACAGCATCTGGGGACCCCAACGCCCACCAGCGTTGATCTACCCACACAATGCAGGATGCGGGGGCCAGCACTGGTGCCGGCTACAGCGCCTGAGCCAAGGAAACATGGCATCTAGTGCAGGAAGTCAATGCTTTCTAGGGAGTGTGTGGAGCAGGCACATCCATCTGTGTGCACAGAGAGCACGCAGCTGCTTGCTAGAGGCTGGGGGACATGGAACGCCACACCGGCAGCGGCAGCCCGCCACTGTGAAGACTCAAATGGCTGAGTGTCGAGCACTACCCCTCAGCAAAAGGAAGCAAGGGGAGCAGGGAGGAGGGGAGAGAGCAGGCAGGGCTTTTAAAGCGGACCTCACAGGAAGCACTTAGTGACCGCAAACCTTTAACACAGGGAAAAATCCGAGGAGACGCCCATTCAACAGAGCAGACGCCAGGTGGCACAGGACCACAGGGCCCAGAAGGCCCTGGGGTGGGCAGAGTGGCTGTCAACAGGGATGTCAGTTAGGGTGAGGAGGCGACATGGCCGCTGAGATCACAGGCCAGCTCTGCTGCCCATCATGGGAGGCCCAGGGTGAGGTCCCTGCTCCTGGCTTCAACCTCGCCCAGCTCTGACGGCTGCAGGCATTTGGGGAGGGAACCAGTGGATGGGAGCTCTAAACTTGTCTTGCAAATAAAATGAAAATGAATAAATACAAGGGAATAACACCAAAGACACTGCGGCTCTGGCTTGTTCCATCTGGGATCATGAAAGCCAGCCGCCATAGCAGGTGCACACCCATGCCTTTTGGGGGGGGGGGGGGGGGGCCCGTGTGCATGCCAGCAGGTGCTGAGTCAGCAGCCACGGGAGAGGGCCACACGGTGAGGGTCCCCCTCCCCTCCGACCCCCGTCTGTAGCATCCCTGGACGACACGTCCACTGCAATGTCTTGAGAAAGCTGTGGCACAGCCTCCAGATCACTGAGAAACCATGAGGCGGCAAGTTATTACTGCTATTATTGTAAGCCACTAAGTTTTGGGGCAATTTGTAATTGCATAGATAACTGATACAATTACTTACTTAGCTCTTTGGCCCCTGCACCCACGTGGGAGACCTGGAAGAAGCTCCTGGCTTCAACTCTGGCCATTGCGGCCATTTGGGGAGTGAACCAGCAGACAGAAAACCTCTCTGTCTCTGTATCTGCCTCTCTGTAACTCTGCCTCTCATATAAATACCCAAGGACACTGAGCCACCTAGCACTTCACTGCCTCGCCCAAGGACACGAGCAGTAAGTGGGAAAATGAAGACTTGGCCCCGGGGACTCCGGAGTACGGACCGGTAACCCTGGCATCACAGTGGCCGGCATGGCTACAGGTGAGCGCTACTCATCATTCATTCCTTCAAAATAGAGGTGGCATCTGCCACGTGCTGGACACCATTTGGGGGACAAGGGGAATGAGACGAAGCCCCCATTTTTCATGGTACCACATCTTTTTTAAAAGTTGATTTGAAAGGCAAAATGACAGAGAGAGAGCGAGAGACAAAGAATGAAAGAGAGAGAACTTTCCAACTCATCCCCCAAATGCCCACAATGGCTGGGCCTGGGCCAGACTGAAGTCAGGAGCCAAGAACTCCCCCCAGGTCTCCCACAGGGCGGCAGGGGCACAGCATAAGCTCTTGGGCCATCTTCCAATGCTTCTCCAGGCTCATGAGCAGGGAGCCAGAGGGGAAGTGGAGCAGAAACGACCTGGCACCCTGGAATGGGATGCTGGTGTCACACATGGCAGCTTAACCAGCTGCACAGCAATGCTGGCCCCTAGGAGAGATGGGGGGGGGGCACTCCTTTAGACAAGATAGTCCCAGATGTGCGCCTGTCTGAGGCAGCGTGGGAGCAGAGACTCGACAGCAGGAGGAACAGGCTGTCACGCGAAGAGCAAAGACAATGATAGTCCAAGCACAAATAGCAGATGCAAAGGCCCTGAGACAGAAACAGCCCTGATATGCTGGAGGAATGGGAAGGCAACCAGAGCAGCTGCAGCAGGGTTGTAGGTGATAAAAGCTTAGTCCGGTGGGCTGGGGTTCAAGCACCAGGCCTTGTTGGCTGCCACGGAAGAGTCCAGAGAATATTCTCAGAGCAGTGAGGAGTCACTGATAAGTTTTGATTAGGCAGGGAGCGATCTATTTTATCACTGAGAAGGATGAGTAGTTCCGGTTCTTTAAGCCAGACCCTCTGTCTCCTGCTCCTACCCAGCTGTCCTCCCATGATGTGCATACAACCAGTGACTGTACACAGAGTGCTACAAAGTGACAGTCATGGTCCCTTCCAAGCTGCCCATCTATGTAGGTTCAAGGGTTCAAGGTCTGCACCTGTGCCAGGAGCAGAGGAGACCTTGGAGTGAGAGGGGCCAGTCACAATATGATACGGTGCATGGGGCAGGCCCTGAAGGGTTCCACAAAGATCCAAGAAAGAGGCATCTCTTGCCCTCTCCAGGGGAAATGGGCGTTGGCCTCTTCTCAAAATAAAAGGCAGATAAACAGAAACCACTAGGAAAATACTGGATGGCTATTAGTGAGAGGCTGAAACGGAACGGGTGCCAGCAAGACAAACACTGAGCTAGAAAATGACTGTCGCTAGACCTCGCCCGAGGTTTGTGCTCCGGTCCTGAGCACTTTCCCAGGCTTTGGCTCCTTCTGGATCTCTCCATCCACATCTGGAGGGGGCCCCGTGGCCACATCCACACTCACCGATTGCTCGTTCTTAGATTTCTATTCTCAGACAGAGGCAGAGAGAATACCGCAGATACAGCTCACAGCACGGGCTTGTGTTGGGTTCAGGGCAAAGACATGTCACAAATAAAACAAGGAAGGCTGCCTGGGGACAGTTTTTCTATCTTGACTGGGTGGCAGTTGTGTGTGTCTGTTGAGTCCACGCTGGACATTTTCCTGGGTTTCATATACCCAATTAAAAAAAAAAAAAAAGAAAAGGATCATAATATTTGCTGACTTCACCCCCCGCCCCAGGTAGAATGAGAATGAAAGAAATCTCCCATCTTTTGGTTTACTTCCCAAATGCCCCCAACAGGAGCCAGGAACTCAATATGACACGGTGTCGGGGATCTAACTACCTGAGCCATCCCCCACTGCCTCCCAGGAAGCTGGAATCCCCCTACCCCAGCCCCTAACTCTGATATGGGATGTGCAAGTCTTAAGCACTCAGCCAAATGCCCGCCCCCAGGCTACCACTTGGCCGTGCCTTTGTTTGTACCTAGCCCTGGGCTGGGCGTTGCACAAGTTTCTAATGTCCCCGCCAGGCTAACCCCGTTTCACTGCTGAGGAATCTAAGGCTCAGAGAGGGCGAGCCACTTATCAAAGGTCACGCAGCAATAAAGAGCCAAGGCAGAATTCGGTTTCACATCGGGGAATGGTAAACACGGCCTGGCAAGTGTGGGAGGAACGCACATTGCCCCAGGCTGTTGCGGCTGGCGGAGCCCTCGCAACCCTGTTAGCTCAGAGACTGGTCCGCGATCCCTCGCCCAGCTATCAGGCAAACCCATCACGGCCCGGACTGCCGCCCCAAAGCCCCTTTGGAGCGGAGCAGGCTCCTCAGAGCCGGCGGGATGGGCGGAAGGAGGGAACAAGAGCGAGCCCTCTTTCCACCTGCTTAGACCCAAAGCCCGGAGCCGCGGGCGCGCGGAGCTGGGTAGAGACCATGGCCGCGTCCAGCCTCCCGCACCTGGCGCCCCCGTGCGCCCCCGGCCCCCGACGCCGCCCTACCTTGGTGGACGCTCCCGTGTCTGCTGGGCCTGCCCGGCGGGAGCGCACTGGCTCCAGGCTCGCTCATGGCTGCGCGCGGAGCCGCAAAGAGGCCGCCGCGCCGCCAGCCCGCCTTCCCTCCCGGAGCCGGGATTCCAGGTTCCGGCGCCAGCGTCACAGAGGCCGGGGCGGGGCCTCGGGGCGGCCCCACCCACCGAGGCCCCCCCACCCACACCGCAACCCCAGGGACCCCCGAGAGCCCGGGCGTGGGGATGCCGGAGGGGCCTGGAGGGGCGCGGGCAGGGCGGGCTCCGTCCCCGCGGCGTTGCATGAGTGGCCACCTGCAGGTCTCGCTGAGCTGGAGAGCAGGAAAGCACCTCAGAGCCCCACGAGGAGACGCGGGGAGCCGGCCGTTGGGTGTCCGTCCGTGCGGGGAGGGAGGTCTCTCCAGCCCCGGGCACGGTGGCGAGCGCGGCGGGGCGAAGACTTGCACGACGCGCAATTTGGATTTTAAAAGTTTACACCAACGGTACACAAAATTGCCCCCACATCCACGGTTCATTCTGCGTGTACATAGAGCCATGTGCAGCTTTTAAAAAAAAATGATGGATTTATTTATTTTAAAAGCAGAGTGACAGGGTCGGGGCGGGGAGTGGGGAGAGAGAGAGAGAGAGAGAGACTTCCACCCTCTTGTTCACTCCCCATACGCATGCAGTAGCCCAGGCTGGGCCAGGCTGAAGGCCGGAGCCAGGAACTCCCTCCAGGTCTCCCGCATGGGTGGGAGGAGCCCAAACCGCCTTTCCCCGGGCGCATCAGCAGGAAGCCGGATCTGGCTTTTTGATAAGAGCATCCGAAGTGGATGCTTAACCCCCTGGGCCCCAACGCAGGTCCCCTGTGTGCACCTTAAAAGAAAAATTGAAAAATTGCTACACATAAACTATTAAGTAAATAGGGAGATGTGATACTTGCGCAGAATTCCACATCTTCCCGTCCTGCTCTAAGATGGCTTAGACCAGCGTGGAGGCGGGAGAGGAGCAGCTTTAGTGGGCAAGACCTGACCACGGTCCTAGGACAGGCAATGGCCCGGAACACCAGCAATGGTCGTCACTTGGCTACTGGGCACCGGGAGAGGACGTGGTCAGAGCGCCGTTTGGTCTCTGTGCTTTCTCCTGAAAATCCATCAGCCCAGGCGAATCGCAGAGAAAAAAGACAAACCCCAGCGGAAGGGTGTTATACAGAATCCCTGATCAGGACTCCTCACAAGGTCAAGGTCATTTATAAAGATAAACACCCTGAGAACCAGTTACAGCCAAGGGAGCCTCAGGAGAGGCGACAGTGACCTTACAAGGGATCCCGGGACACAAGCCGAAACGTATCAAGCAAAAATTGCGGAAATCTGAATAAACTACAGAAGAGCTAACAGCCTTGTGTCCATAGCCACGTGTCGGTGTAAGACGTTACAGGAGGGGGAACTGGGTGTAGGCACTGGGAAACTCTCAAAGCAGCCTCAAAAATTTTCTGTAAATCTGAAAGTATTCTAAAATAGAAACCTTTTTTTTTTAAATTGTTATGTTAAGTAACTGCCTGTCTCAACGTACAGAGAAACCTTGCATCCACTGGTTTACTCCCCAGACGCCTGCAATAGCCAGGCCTGGACCAGACTCCATCCAGGTCTCCTCCTGGGATGACAGAGACTCAAGTACTTGGGCCATTACAGCCTTCCCAGGGACCACATTAACAGGAAGCTGGAATCAGGACCAGAGCCAGGGGTCAAACCCAGGTACTCTGATGTGTGAGTTGGGCTTCTTCTTAGCCACCAGACTAAGCAAACGTTAACTTAAAAACCACCACTGAAGAGTGCGGCACAGAAGAAGTGTCAAGAAATTATAACTAGGGGCCAGCATGGTGGTGCAGCGGGTTAAGCCTCCACCTGCCACACTGGCACCCTATACCGAAACGCCAGTTTGAGTGCCGGCCGCTCCACTTCAAATCCCGCTCCCTGCTAATGCACCTGGGAAAGCAGTGGAGGATGGTACAAGCGCCCCTGCTACCCACATGGGTCAGAACCTGGCTCCTGGATCCAGCCTGGCCCAGCCTGGCTGTTGCAGCCATTTGGAGAGTAAATCAATAGTCTCCCCCGCCCCTGCCCTGCCTTTCAAGTAAATGAATATTTAAAAAGAAATGACTATTTCAGTTGAGAGTCAGCCCCTCTCTCTCCCCGCTCATCAAAGACCACCTCCCAATCCCCAGTCCCAGCCAGCCGATCTGCAAGGGTTCCTGGGATGGCAGCACGCGACGCAGTAGTAGGGACGGGGATCCCCAAATTTTGTTGTGTGGACCAAGAGCGTTGACTGAGCTGGGTGGGGGGAACCCCAGCTAGGCTTAGCCCAGGTTCTGTCCTCCCACGTGTAAGAATCCAGCCAGGAGACGCGGACACAGGTGGACTGAAGAGAGGTGAAGGACTGCGCATGCTCGGACATGAGCGCGCATGCTTGGACATGAGCGCGCACGCTCGCAGCCCAGCGGACCCCGCCCCCCAGGCTAGGGCAGTCCTCTGTAGGGCAGGGCCTGGTGGGCGCTCCGAGGACTGAGGGGTTTGTGTGGGGCTGCGGTGCACGTGGGCGTCCCCAGGCGGGTGTCGCGGCGTCTGGAGCGTGATGGGAACGAGGCCGAGCTGCACGGCGAGGAGCGGCTGGGCCGGTCGTCAGTCATGTTGGGTGGGCCTGGAAGATGGCGGGATTTGGTGGTGCTCACGGCCTGGCTGCTGGCAGCCCTTAGCTCCTTCTCCCTTCCGGCCTCGCTGCACCACAGGGACCTAGACAGGGGCCCCAGAACTCCAGGCGCTCGTCTTCCTCCTGCTGGCCTCCCCTGGCCCCTGACCACGGTCTAGCTATGCATCCTGCACCAAGTAAGGCCTCGAGTACTGTCCAGGGCAGCGGAATGGGTCCAGGATCCTGAACAGTCGCTTCTCTCCCGGAACAGGAGAAGGTCATCCTCGCACATCCTAGGGAGTATGTCCCGGGACCCCAGTGGACACCTGAAACCACAGAGGTCCTGAGCCCTCCTTGTACTGTTGTTTCCTGGACACGCACACCTGTGATAGAGGTGAATGTACAATTAGGACAGGCACACCCGTGATGGAGGTGACTGTACAATTAGGACAGGCACACCCGTGATAGAGGTGAATGTACAATTAGGACAGGCACACCTGTGATGGAGGTGAGTGTACAATTAGGACAGGCACACCCGTGATGGAGGTGACTGTACAATTAGGACAGGCACACCCATGATGGAGGTGACTGTACAATTAGGACAGGCACACCTGTGATAGAGGTGACTGTACAATTAGGACAGGCACACCCACGATGGAGGTGCATGTACAATTAGGACAGGCACACCCGTGATGGAGGTGAGTGTACAATTAGGACAGGCACACGTGTGATGGAGGTGAGTGTACAATTAGGACAGGCACACCTGTGATAGGGGTGACTGTACAATTAGGACAGGCACACCCGTGATGGAGGTGACTGTACAATTAGGACAGGCACACCCGTGATGGAGGTGACTGTACAATTAGGACAGGCACACCCGTGATGGAGGTGACTGTACAATTAGGACAGGCACACCTGTGATAGAGGTGACTGTACAATTAGGACAGGCACACCCGTGATAGAGGTGCATGTACAATTAGGACAGGCACACCCGTGATGGAGGTGACTGTACAATTAGGACAGGCACACGTGTGATGGAGGTGAATGCACAATTAGGACAGGCACACCTGTGATGGAGGTGAATGTAATAGGACAGGCACACCCTGTGATGGAGGGACAGGCACACCCGTGATGGGGGACTGTACAATTAGGACAGGCACACCCGTGATGGAGGTGACTGTACAATTAGGACAGGCACACCCGTGATGGAGGTGACTGTACAATTAGGACAGGCACACGTGTGATGGAGGTGACTGTACAATTAGGACAGGCACACCCGTGATGGAGGTGACTGTACAATTAGGACAGGCACACCCGTGATAGAGGTGACTGTACAATTAGGACAGGCACACCCGTGATGGAGGTGACTGTACAATTAGGACAGGAACACCTGTGATGGAGGTGAATGCACAATTAGGACAGGCACACCTGTGATGGAGGTGACTGTACAATTAGGACAGGCACACCTGTGATAGAGGTGAGTGTACAATTAGGACAGGCACACCTGTGATGGAGGTGCATGTACAATTAGGACAGGCACACCCGTGATGGAGGTGACTGTACAATTAGGACAGGCACACGTGTGATGGAGGTGAATGCACAATTAGGACAGGCACACCCGTGATGGAGGTGACTGTACAATTAGGACATGCACACCCGTGATGGAGGTGACTGTACAATTAGGACAGGCACACCCGTGATGGAGGTGAATGCACAATTAGGACATGCACACCCGTGATGGAGGTGACTGTACAATTAGGACAGGCACACGTGTGATGGAGGTGACTGTACAATTAGGACAGGCACACCTGTGATGGAGGTGAATGTACAATTAGGACAGGCACACCTGTGATGGAGGTGACTGTACAGTTAGGACAGGCACACCTGTGATGGAGGTGAATGCACAATTAGGACAGGCACACCCGTGATGGAGGTGAGTGTACAATTAGGACAGGCACACCCGTGATGGAGGTGACTGTACAATTAGGACAGGCACACCCGTGATGGAGGTGACTGTACAATTAGGACAGGCACACGTGTGATGGAGGTGACTGTACAATTAGGACAGGCACACCCGTGATGGAGGTGACTGTACAATTAGGACAGGCACACCCGTGATAGAGGTGAGTGTACAATTAGGACAGGCACACCCGTGATGGAGGTGACTGTACAATTAGGACAGGCACACCTGTGATAGAGGTGCATGTACAATTAGGACAGGCACACCTGTGATAGAGGTGACTGTACAATTAGGACAGGCACACCCGTGATGGAGGTGACTGTACAATTAGGACAGGCACACCTGTGATAGAGGTGACTGTACAATTAGGACAGGCACACCCGTGATAGAGGTGCATGTACAATTAGGACAGGCACACCCGTGATGGAGGTGACTGTACAATTAGGACAGGCACACCTGTGATAGAGGTGAATGTACAATTAGGACAGGCACACCCGTGATGGA